CTCAAAAAAAAAAAAAAATTGAGCATGATCTCTCCCTCCTTGGACTGCCTATGACACCACTAGTTTGATCGAAAGGTGAGCACCAAGGTCAAGGTCTCTCGATTGAATGAGCCACCAGGAAGCGCCCCTTCTCTTATAGAAGGAATCAGAACTGGTCCCGCAATGACTAAATCCAGCTCTGAGGTTTGACGAAGGAGAGGGTGGACTGACCTGGTTTTCGGGTGAGGGGTTAGTCACGCCCTTCCTCAAAGCTGAGAAATGAAAGGGATTTAAGAGAACCATAAGGAAACATCCAGGGGCGATTGCAAGAAGGGGTGCTGTGCTTCCAGGCAGGTGAACTTACTATCCTTACTGGAACTTACTATTTTCCTTTGAGGCGTGAGCAGAGGCCAGAGGGAGACAGTGGGAAGGGCGTGCACTGCCAGGCAGGGATTACCTGGCAGCGCAGCCCGAGTTTTCAGCTCAGAGGCATGGGCGGTGGATCCTTGCAGCCTCACTCTGCGAACGGGGAGACCCCTGTCCCTTGCCTGTCCCTCTTCCTGGCTCAATGCACTCTGGAGGGGCTGACCCTAGACAGTGGAGGGCTGATGGGTCAAGAGAAGGTCAAATCCCAGAGTCACAAAGACCCAGTCTGCACGGGGGAGGGGGGGTGAAGGGTGAGACTTGAAGCTTTAGGAAGCTCAGGACTGAGTCTTACATCGGAAGTGACCACAGGTGGCCAGAAAGCTGTGGAATGTGGCAGATTCGTGATGAAGGGACCCTCTGTTGGGAAAAGGAGGATGGACCCATCTGGACTAGTTGGGGACAATTATAGGACCAAAGTCGTGTTTTTATTCCCAAATGTGTTAAGATTATTCAATCAACTCCCTAGAATTATTTTTGCACCTGGCTTATCTTTTTCTTTTAAAAAAAATTGTGGTTGTAATCCCGCACCTTTGGGAGGCTGAGGTGAGTGGATTGTCTGAGCCCACGGTTTGAGACCCGCCTGGGCAGGCGAGACCTCATCTCTACAATAAATCAAAAAATCAGCCGGGCGTGGTAGTGTGCGCCTGTAATTCCGGCTACTTGGAAGGCTGAGGCAGAAGGATCGCCGGAGTCCAGCAGGTCGAGGCTGCAGAGGCCCGGAGCGGCCACTACAGTCTGGATGACAGAGTGAGACTCCAACTAAAAAAAAAAAAAGTTCTGGTTTCACATATTTGTATAAATATAAAACTTTCTTCATACATCTAAGACTACTACTCATCATTCAGCTAATTATTTTTATAAAGTTGTAAATACAAATTTTTCCTAGTGAAAAAGAGTGAAGGATCGGAGGAAATGTCATGTAATAATTAAATTATATAATTTACCATAATACTTTTTAATTTCAAAAAATATACCTTCTCCTTTTCCCAAATGTAGGCTTTTCCTCTTCAATATTATTTTTGGAAAACTGCATCTATAAAACAATAACAAAAAAAGTGAGTTAGTTCATGTGGAAGTGGATTAACTCAGAATAATAATGGGTCCTATGCGGTCCAAGCAATTTGGTCAGAAGAAAAAAATCTGGTCAGCAGTCCTAAACAACACCCGTAAGTCTAACCAGCCACCTCAAAGGCACTGTATTTGCACTGATCTGCTCAACTTTCAAGAATGGTAGACTGCTCTGATTTGGATGCTTATCTTCCATATTATCCACCCCCAGCTTACTTTCACAAACACAAAAAAATACCAAATAAAATAACTTTGAAGTTGTATAAACACATCTGACATTTAGAGAAAGAAAAAATAATTTAGATTTCAGAAGCATGTGGAATGCAAAGTCTTATAGGTGGGAACTGACATGGTAAAGACCTGCAACAAATTTGTACCAGGACAGATCCAAAGGAGTTCAGGGTTAAATTCTTTATGTCTAAGCAAAGATAATGACATGTTTTGTGGTGGCATTGATTAGAGAGTTGCATTGATAACATTCCATAAAGTCTAGGAATGTCAAGGATTTTCTGTCCATAAAAAGAGAACAGGCAAAACTTTACTGACTAGGACACAAAAGCAACAAAATAGAATATAGTCTAACCTGGGAAATTAGATGGGAAAAAGAGAGCAGAAATCCAAAAGAATGAAAACACTAGGCCTATACCATCAAAGTGAGACATCCAGATTTATGTCTCCTACAATTTCCAAACCAAATAATTAATATGAAGACTTTTCCAAGATTTCTAAATAAGAAAAAGTAAGCAGAAAAACCAAGCAATTAACATAAACATTTATATAGATTTTCTAATGCCAGTAGTTCAGAAAAATTAAAATTAAGGGCATACAGATTATCTGGAAAAGAAAAAACCCTATAACGTAATTATGTTTGCACTGTACAGTTCAGCTGACATAAAATTCCAAATAGGCAAAACTAATCTGTGGCACTAAAAGTCAGGATAGTGGCTACCTTGGAGGTGGAAAGTGTGACTAGAAGAGGGAATGATTACATTTCTGGAGTTCTGGAAAAGCTTTGTTTCTTGAACTCGTGATGGTTACAAGGAAATGTTCATTTTGTAAAAATTTGTGCTGTTTTATTTATATATTTATGATTTTCATTTTTATTTTCACTTTGTATTATAGTAAAAAATCCTATATTAAAAGTAAACATGTTTAAGTTGTTAAAGGGCCAAAAATAGAACAGAAATCATAATGAACAAGTTCAGGTTTCCATGACACCTACCTATGACCTATAACACCTCTAGGGGAAAAAAAGTCAAGTTGTTGAATTGAACATTCAGTAAATGAGTTAAAGAGCAGATTAGGTACACTGAAGAAAGAGAATAAGTATTCTAGAAGGTAGATTTTAAGAGACTGCCAAATCTACAGCAGTGTGAGATACAAATAATTTTTGTAAGACCAATTAATAGTCACGGAGAATAGAATGATGAGGTCCGGCATACTTCTGAAGAAAGTTCCATAAGAATAACATAGACAAAAAAGGGAAGAGAAAATATGTGAAGTGATAATGGCTAAGAATTTTCCAGAATTAAATATACCAGATTGTAGACACCCATAGTGCCAAGCAAGAGCAATAAAAGTTTACATCATAGCACATAGCAAAATTAAAAAGTAAATATTAAAAGCAATCAAAAGGAAAAGATAGACTACAATGAAATGAAAATTACACTGTAATAGATACCATATCAACAACAATACCAGGGAATACTTCTTCAATTACACTATAGTCAACAAAAACATAAATCAAGAAGAATGCCAAATATGTGTTTGTTGAGCCTGCTTGAGGAGTACAAGGAGGTACAATACTATTTCCTCAACTTATTACAATTTGATTTCCATGATTTTTTAAAAAATTGTTAAATTTTAAAAATAAAACATTTTAAAAGAGTGGGGATTAAAAAGATTAAACCTTGCTGTAAGAGCTATAAAGAGTGTACTTGAGAGGAAAAAGACTGAACCTGAATCAAAAAGAAGTGAAAATAAGACAAATAATTGCTGAATAAACACTGAACAACAACAACAACAAAAAGATGAACAGGTAATGGAGTAAAACACAGGAGGATTTACAAAAGTAGACAACTGAATGGAAGGGAAAGAGGGGTTAGACAAAGGTGAAAGTATTTTAAGAAACTTTAATTATTCAGGAAGAAAGAGATAATAATTATATTTAAATTGTTGAATCAATTAAAAAACATGTTCATTTTTAAGGATAATCACCAAAAGAAGGTAACTACAATTTGTAATTTTTTAAAGAAAATTCATTTTTATTATGACTGAAAACATATACTTCAATGGGTACAAAAATGGGTAGATTTAAGACTTGGATAGATAGATAATACCTATCTAATTAGTACATTTATTATTTTGAATTTTCTACTACCATTATTGAAAACACTTGCTCCTTCAGTCATCATACATTCCCTTTAAAATCTTGTTTACAATATGTACTTTATTTTTTTTGCATTTGCAAGTTTTATAATTTTGATCCAAATCCACTATTAGTTCCTAAGTCTTTTTTGACATTTGGGGTAGATTCTTAGCCTTGACTTTCATTTTGATAATCAAAAAGGCTGCAAGTTCCATTTGGAATAGCTCCTAAGTGTCAGAAATTCAATAAGTTCCCTTAGGTATAAATCTTCCATTCTAATTCTCCCAATTTCTGCTAATCTTCAATAAACATGTTTGATGTTTACAGATAACTAATGCAGTTAAGGAAACTGTCCATTATCATCTTTTCATAGAAGATCCTAGGCTTTCCTTAGAGAATGTGATGGCTTATTTTCATATGTATTCAGGTTTGTTCAGGTTCCTCAGACTGGTGGGGAAGCTCTGAATTCACAGTTAGGTAGCTGGTGCTCCTTTCCTATAGGTCTAGGGTTGCCTGAGGTAGCTCTGTCCCACACGGCTCTCATTTTTCTCTTACCACTGGCTCTGGGTTAAGGCAGAGGCACAAGAGGAAAAGCAGAAATACCCAAGGCTTCTTAAGGAATAGGCTCAGAATTGTCATACCGTTACTTCTACCTTATTCCTTGGGCCAAAGTAAGTCACAGAGTTCAGCCAATGTCAAGAAATGGGTGAATATACTCTTCTTCTTTAGAAGGAACAAATGCAAAGGGGGTACAGCTACAAGAAGTTGGTCATACATCCTGATTTCAAAACCTATGACAAAGCTACAATAATCAAGACAGTATGGCATTGGGCTAAGACAGAAGAATGAATCAATGGAATAGAATGGGTAGCCAAGAAATAAACTCTTACATTTACAGTCAACTGATCTTTAGCAGGGGTGCAATGAAGCTTTCCATTCAACAAGAAAACAATTTTTGGGGTAACCCCTTCAGGCCCCCTCTCACTGTGGGAACTTTTTCATCCTCAGTAAACCCTGCTTTCTCACTTTCTGGCCGTTCGTGTCCCTCATTCTTCCTGGGCATGAGACAAGAACCTCCACCCTGAAGAGCTGCAGAAGATCATTGGAGTTGAAAAGCCATGCACCTCAGAGGCTGGCTTGCCAGCTCAAAGAGCCAACTGAACCAGGAGACCTGCTGGAGGAAGGTGAGACTCTAAGGCTGAGACACCTCAGGGACTAGACTTGCCAGTCCACCAAACCAGCAAACTCTCAGGGCTTGGCTTGTCAGCCCACTAGAGCTGACACTTCCGGGGCTAGGCTTACCAGTCCCTCCACGACCCTCTCTGGGGCTTGGCTGACTGACCTATTGAGCTGACACTCTCAAAGTCCAAGCTGACCTGAAAAATCCACATCAAAAGTACTAGGCCCTTTTCTCTCTCTCTGTCTCTCTCTTTTTTTTTTTTGAGTTGGAGTCTCACTCTGTTGCCCAGGCTGGAGTGCAATGGCATGCTTGTGGCCACCAAAGCCTCGACCTGCTGGGCTCAGGCAGTCCTTCTGTCTCAGTCTTCCAAGTATCTCTTTTTTCTCTTAACCTCCATTTTCAACACATGGACAAGTTTTATTACTTCTACCTTTTTAACATTTGTGTACATCATCATTACTTTAATCAGTCCCTCTACCTCTTTTCCTGTCTCTGTGTTCTCTATATCTTCTGTCTTGCTTTTCTTAAAATGAGTTCCAATGTCACCAATGTAACTTTTCTAAAGTAAAAACTTATTTTTCCATTTTTTAGGGTACAATCTTCTAGGGACCTTATGGTATACAGAATGAGGTCCAGATTCATTAATTTGATATATTAATCCTTCTCCAATCTGTAGACTTTTCTACACGCTCATGCTCCTTCTCTCACTGTAAGCTCTGGCTATAGAGAATTTACACTTGTCTACACACATGGTAATGTCCACAGTTTTCTTGCTTCACCAATTATATTCTCTTATCCCAGAACCTTTCAACTGTACCATCATCAGTCCATTGATTACCAGTTCATATTTCCAGGTATCATGCAAACCTTACTCTAAGAAGCCCTCTAGCACCTTCTTCCTAGATGGAACCAATCACCTTATTTTGTCTGACCTCTCTGTACCTTACATTTGCTTCTATAACATGTCCTGAAACTCCACCTCAAGAAAAAGAAAACAATTTTTTAAAACAAATTGTACTACAGATGGATATTCACATGCAAAATGAAGATGTTCAACCACTACCTCCCATTATATACAAACATTAACTCAAAGTGCATCAAATATTTAGATGGAAGAGAAAAATTATAAACTCTTTTTTTTTTTTACATTCTGCTTTGTTTTTTTTTATCAATATTTTTTATTATGATTTTGTGGGGTACAGTTAAGGGTTAGGTGTACAATTACGTTTCATTCAGGCACCCTGTTGATAAGAGGTGTTTCCCCATCCCCAGACAGATATTTGCGACTGTTAATCCCATCCCCCTCCCCCCCATAGTTTCCCAATACTGTCAGTCATTTTCTTATAGTATTACATTGGATGTTCAAGGTCCATTATATGAGTGAGAAAAAACTATAAAACTCTTAAAAGAAAACTCA